CTCCACATCCTCCAGAGCTGACTCATAGGGCCCATCCCTGTCGGAGTCTGGTGGCAGCTCCAACGGCTCCTGCTGGGCCACAACACTTATGTATCCACTGCTATAACAAAGGGGTTTGGCTGTACAGTTCCATTCTCTGTACATCTTACACAGGGATAGATAAAAATTAGGGGCTTTATACATTGTTATTTGACTAGCTTTGAAATAGGACTGCTACCTTCAACTCATAGATTATTCTTTATAACATTTGTCATCTCAAGGTTGCTTTGTCAAAATATTCTCCATCATTTCCTCCCCCCCGCTCCACCTTCTCTCCTTAGGTTGATGGAATATTATGTTTGGCTGACATTCTTACAGATGGAATACATTCCCAAGCTACCCATGCTGAAGCAGCTGCAGTGATAGCTCAAATCACATCCCCTCAGCTCACTTTCACTCAGCATCTCAACAGCTTTCTGGAGAACATGGAAGAAATTGTCACCGCGCTTCTCAGTATGTATATCCATGAAAAGTTCATGTTTGAATGTTGTTAAGGTGCAGAAGGCTTTGGGAATATTTAGACTAATTACCACATGCTGTGTGTGAGATATGTAAATTGTGCAATCTTTCTTTCAACTCGCGTCGTTTTTCTTTGCTTTTTCATTTTTTCACCTTCCTATTCGGAGTCAGCCAAACATCTGTAATTGAGTTTAAACATGCTTGAGATGTCTATCATCTGATAGAAATAAAAAGTTAAAAATAATAAATTGAAAGGAAAACAGCAACAAGAAAAAAAAACTTCAAAGTGTCTTTTTCTGCTGTTAGTTTTCTATATTTTTGTTTTAGAGAGCCTGTCTCAATTGACATGCAGACTCTTGGCAAGAACATTTCTACTGATTAGGAAAATTTTCAAATATCCTAATCTCAGATTGCTTAGGAAAGGGGTGTTGTGGCTCGCCAGCGGCCAGCAGAGCTGGCAGCAGATTCAGACAATGAGGAGGTTGGGGAGGAATATGGGCCAGTACTGGAGTCTGGGAAAGGCTCGGATGAGGGCTCTGTGTTGGAGGCAGAGAGGGGGCCAGAGCCATATGCCAGCTGTCAGGCTGCCTTCAGAGTCAGACATCAGTGAGGCAGACAAACAGCTGGAGCCTGTTCCCAGTGTGCGTGTGAGTAGAGTTGCCAGATGAAGCGAACAATTAAAAAGCAGGGGTCAACTTGGGAGTAAGGCCAGACAACGAATGCCCCCTCCCAGAGGAAATAAAAGAGGAGGAGTTTGCAGGAGACAATTTGTTTGCTAATTGGTTAGTGACTTTTCGAGACTCCTTGCCAAGTTCTGCAGATATCGGCCTGACAGCTCTCCAAGCCAGATAAGATGTGTGACCATAAATCCTCCTTTGAAAGACTTTGCTAGGTGTGAATGAGCAGAATTCACTGTAATTTAATAAAATGTTTTTTTGCCGGGACAAGGAATTTGTTTCATGCTCTTGGGAAGCCTCGGTCAGAACAAGCGATGAAGAACTGTTTTTAATCAAAGCCCTTATTTCACTGTTCCTTAACTTCTATCTTAACAGAATAACAGAGTTGGAAGAGACCTTGGAGGTCTTCTGGTCCAACTCCCTGCTCAAGCAGGAGACCTTATACCATTCCAGACAAGTGGCTGTCCAGTGAAGGCAAGCCCCTCCACTGGTTAATTGTTCTCACCATTAGGAAATTTCTCCTTAGTTCAAGGTTGTTTCTCTCCTTGATTTGTTTCCGTCCATTGTTTCTTACCTTGCCTTCTGGTGCTTTGGAAAATAGATTGACCCCCTCTTCTTTGTGGCAGCCCCTCAAATATTGGAACACTGCTATTATGTTGCTCCTAATCCTTCTTTTCACTAGACTATACATACACAGTGTTTTTTTTGCTGTGATACCTCTTTCTTAGAGATATTGGATTCAAAACAAAAGTGATATGATGCCCCTTCCTTCCTTCCTTCCTTCCTTCCTTCCTTCCTTCCTTCCTTCCTTCCTTCCTTCCTTCCTTCCTTCCT